ACAGTGGGGCAGTGAGGGCTGAAGTCACTTCCCAGCGTCTCACATAATCCCCACCTGGCTGTGGTCCTGGGAGACCCAGCGGGGGCCTCCCTGCTGCTGGTGGCTGTGCTGTGCCGAGCTGCACAGTCCCATGCGGGCACGTTTTTGTATGGGATGGACATTAGGCATACTGCACTTTAGTGCCCATAAAATTGGCATGGACTTAAACGACCCTTTATATGGTAACATTTTCCTACATTTGTCTATGTAGCTTAAGTTTTCCTCAACTGTGGTACTCTGCAAACCTTAGCTTTGGATGACTCTTTTCCAAGACCGTTGCGATTGACTATAGAGATTTTAGGACGCATACTAGTACAAGTATCTAGTCTCTCATCATATAAATATAACCTTGGGGGGGCGGGCTGTGTGCTTTAAGCTGGCCCAGATAGGTTGATGGGCTTTAAGTGTGTGGAAATCTATATTGAACCCAAATTTATCTTTCATGTGTCTCTGATTTTAAAAGGTTCCCCGCCCTAACCGGTTTGGCTCAGTGGATAGAGCAGTGGTGGCGAACCTATGACACGCGTGTCAGAGGTGACACGTGAACTCATTTTTTTGGTTGATTTTTCTTTGTTAAATGGCATTTAAATATATAAAATGTGACACGGCACCAGAGTTAAGTTAGGGTTTTTCAAAATGCTGACACGCCGAGCTCAAAAGGTTCACCATCACTGGGATAGAGTGTCGGCCTGCAGACTGAAGGGTCCCAGGTTCGATTCCGGTTAAGGGCGTGTACCTTGGTTGCAGGCACATCCCCAGGAGGAGGTGTGCAAGAGGCAGCTGATCAATGTATCTCTCTCATCGATGTTTCAAACTCTCTATCCCTCTCCCTTCCTCTCTGTAAAAAATCAATAAAATGTATATTTTAAAAAAATGGATCCTCAATTATGTTTTTTTAAATAGCAAACTTTCTCTGAGAGCCTTGTCTAGATTTAAATTTCCAACCATGTCTTTCTGTGGGTCTCAGTTCCAACTTATCTGAAGGGAAGTGATGTTTTTCTGATCCAGCCCATTCATTCAACAGTCAGGGATTGAGGAAGCCCCTGTTCTGTTTACCAGGCACCAGATTATGCCAGAAAAATGGCTGAAAACCAAAGGAGTAGAGATGTTTAAGGCAAGGAGATCATGCCTAGCTAGGATAATCAAGGAAAGCTGACCTTGAGGTGGTCTCCCAAAAATTAAAAGAGGGAGACCTTTCCTTGCAAGGAAACTGCTCAGATAAAGATAGAGACTAGAAGATGGAAAGGTTGGAATTGTGATCATCCCATCAGGCTCAAGTACGTGGGCCTGGAAAGGTGGCTTGGAACTAGGTGAAGGAAGGCAAGAACAGCAGGTTGAGGGGTTTGGACTTCGTGCTCCCTCTGAGGGGAGGCGGCTCCAGAAGGTCCTTGAGCGGGGACTTTGTGGTCAGTGAAGTGCTGAGGACCGTGCACCTGAATATATCATGCAGGAGGAGAGATCACAGTTGCCTGAAGGGGAGGGGTTAGATTCAAAGCGGGCATCCAAGGACAGTGGATGGGAGAGGGCAGAGTCAAGGGTGACTAAGAGAAAAGAGCAGAGGGAAGGAGCCAGGAGAAGAAGAGGAAGCTAACCAGGGGAGCAGGGTTGGTCTTATGAGTCGCGGTGGCCCCCGTGGCTGTGTGAGAGGGCAGGGTGGGAGAGCCAGGCTTGCAGCTGGGGAGTGAGGGCCTTGTCTGGGGTCAAGCCTTCTGCTGAAAGGTCCATTCACATGAGCTCTTTCCTCAGGACACCCAGTGAGCTAGATGGTGTAACTGGATAGTGTTATCTTCCTTTTGTAGATAAGGAAACAGGCTCAGCTGATAGCCTTCTGACCCTAAGGCAGTGGTTCTCAACCTTCTGGCCCTTTAAATACAGTTCCTCATGTTGTGACCCATCCATAAAATTATTTTCGTTGCTACTTCATAACTGTAATGTTGCTACTGTTATGAATCGTAATGTAAATATCTGATATGCAGGATGGTCTTAGGCGACCCCCGTGAAAAGGTCATTTGACCGCCAAAGGGGTCGCGACCCACAGGTTGAGAACCGCTGCCCTAAGGCCTGACCCCTTAACCACTGTATGTCTCTGAGGAATGTTGACGTGGAAAGGAAGAAAGGTGTGGGGTTCATTTTAAAATGAATGACATGGGGTGCTCTGTCGGTTTGATTCAGTGGTTGAGCATTGACCTAGGAACCAGGAGGTTACGGTTCTATTCCTAGTCAGGGCACATGCCCAGGGTTGTGGGCTTGATCCTCAGTGGGGGACATGCAGGAGGCAGTCGATCCATGATGTGTCTATCTCTCTATTCCTCTCTCTCTCTCTCTTTCTCTCTTTCTCTCTCTCTCTCTCTCTCTCTCTCTCTCTCTCTCTCTCTCTCTCTCTCTCAAACCAATAAACACATATTTTAAAATGAATGACATAGGCGTGAGCCTCAGAGTAGGTCATTGGGAGATCAAGTTTAAAGTAAGTCTTTAAGCTGAAGGTCTGCCACAGGGAAAGCTGCTGACCCAATAGGGGGACATTTTTGACCTCAGTAACAGGGAGCCAATTCCTAGAAGCTGAGAGATCTGCTAGAACTCTGTGTGACCCTGTACAAATCACTTAACCTCTTGAGCTTAACCTCACTTAGCCTCCATTTGGCCCTCTAATAATTAGGTTGCAATAGAGCAGTGACTTTCAACTTTTTTTCATCTCATGGCACACATAAACTAATTACTAAAATTCTGCAGCATACCAAAAATATTTTTTGCCACTATGACCAAAAATAGGTATAATTTTGATTGATTTATAAAAACAATAATAATAATAATAGGAATTACCTACCCTTTTTGCTCCAAAGTGACTTTTTAAAAAAATCAAATGTCAATACTATACTTGTATATAAGGATTTTTAGTACCAAGAATTAATCAGACCCAACCTTGTTATAGATATGACCAATAATATGCAACTCTGTTATATGACTTATGTATTTATGATTCAAGACAGAGCATTCACACCGAACGTCTATTGTTGTGTTGTCTGTTGTCATATTTTCTTTGACAGTCTAAGGGAAAAGAGGTCAGTGCCCCTGACTAAATAGTCAGGTATTGCCTGTTTTAAAAATTCTTGCAGCACACCGGTTGAGAATTGCTGTAATAAAGGATGACAAAGGAACTTCTAAATGATAACATTCTATAATTTCAACACACAAATGTCACTGTTTGTGTTATCTTTTAATCTTTATTTCACACCCCCATCCCTCCACATACATCTTGGTACCTCCCAAAATACCTACCAGAATGCTTTTCACATAGTAGGTGCTTTAAAGATGCTTGACTTATTGACTATAGATTGGCATACAGTGGAAGAACCCTATACTGGGCCTGTAGATGATGACTTGTGAATGTTCCAGAGCCAGGAACCACCAGTGACCATCCTGAGTGGCTATAATTGACAGGCTGGAAAACCAATCAAGATGGTCAGCAGATTGGCACCTGATGAATGGCATTATAGTGTGGAATGAAAGCAAATTGCTTCCTTACCTACAGTTTCAAATAAAATAAAGAAAAAGTGGAACCTGAAGACAATGGACTTACCTTCCTTCAGTCTTGGAACTTGAAGCTTGCCTGTGTTCTCGGGCTGTTTTTCATTTTCTGCTTTGTTATGACATGCGGCAGAAGGGCTTTGGGAGTTGAGTCACAGCTAGTTACTCCAGAATCAAGGCATTTCTGACCTTGGAAACATATCCAAGTCACATTATCTGTCAGGTTAAATGGAGTTTGAACTCCAAGGCAAATATGAGATGCTTTAACTCAGCGGTCGCCAACCTTTCGGACCTCACGCACCACTAGTGGTCCGCGGACCACCAGTTGGCGACCACTGCTTTAACTTGTTGATGTGTGTGTGTGTGTGTGTGTGTGTGTGTGTTCATAACCAGTTTGCCCATATCCTGTGTGTATAGATGCATGAAATTGCATATGACTTTATACTACAGATGCCTTGTCAATAGCTAAATTATTTACACAACAAACTTAAGCTTTCATGTTTGTAAATGTGGTAATAACTTCAGGCTTCTGAGTCTTACTGAATGCAAGCTGTTGGAGTTATAGGGTGTAGAAGTTTTCAACTTTCCCCAAGCTGGTCTCTGAGCTCCTGGTTAACAGTCAGTGAAATCAAGATTTTAAATGACACACAAAAAAGTCAACCTTGTTTTACTGTACCATGGAGACTGGAGTATAGGAACCATTGTTCATTAGTGTGCAGCTGCAGGAGAGCCATCCTGTGTTGAGAACACCAACTATGATTTTTATTTTTTAAATCGATTTTTTAGAGAGAGAGGAAGGGAGAGAGAGAGAGAAACATTGATGTGAGAGGGAAACATTGATCGGCTGCCTCCTGCACACCCCTACCAGGGATTGAGCCCACAATCTGGGCATGTGCCCTGACCAAGGAATTGGACCAGCTACTCTTTGATGCACAGGGTGACGCCCAAACAACTGAGCCATGCCAGCCAGGGTCCCAACTTTAATTTTTTTCAATAGGTATTGATGGTGAGGGTGGTCAGGGATGTGTGTGCATTGAGGTGTCAATAAAAAGAAAGCTCTCTCTAATATCTTGAGGAGGAAATGTCCCTGTTTAATTTTTAAGAAATACTGGGATTGTGTTTCTTTTTCTTTCTTTTTTTAAAAAAATACATTTTTATTGATTTCAGAGAGGAAGAGAGAGATAGAAACATCAATGATGAGAGAGAATCATTGATTGGTTGCCTCCTGCATACGCACACTGGGGATTGAGCCTGCAACCCGGGCCTGTGCCCTGACCTGGAATCCAACCGTGACCTCCTGGTTCATAGATCGATGCTCAGCCACTGAGCCACACCAGCTGGGCTGGGATTGTGTTTCTTATTAGGAATCTTTTTAAATTTGTGCCATCACTTCTTGGACGTTGGTAACTAAAATTGACTCTCTCTGTCTTCTATAGGTTGGAATTGCGATTGGGTTCTTGGTCCCTCCTGTTTTGGTACCCAATTCCAAAGACAAGGACAAGCTTGCCTACCACATCAGCATCATGTTCTACATAATAGCAGCTGTTGCCACCCTGCTTTTCATCCTTGTCATCATCGGTAAGTTCATTAGACTGCTGGGGGTGGGGAGGTAGGGAGGTTCTACTGGCTTTGGTGGGGCCCTTGTGCACATGGCTCTAGAACAGCGGTTCTCAACCTGTGGGTCGTGACCCCTTTGGCGGCTGAATGACCTTTTCACGGGGGTCGCCTAAGACCATCCTGCATATCAGACATTTACATTACGATTCCTAACAGTAGCAACATTACAGTTATGAAGTAGCAAGGAAAATAATTTTATGGTTGGGTCACAACATGAGGAACTGTATTTAAAGGGCCAGAAGATTGAGAACCACTGCTCTAGAACATGGTGGACACTTACAGAAACTGAAGGCCAGGCTTCTAATAGTCTTCAAATGCTTTAGCCTAAGCAGTTGCCCCCGATAGGGTGTTAGCTGGTCTTGTGCACTTTGCTAGTGGCTCAGTAAAGGTTTGATTGTGATTAAACTGTTCCCCGTATGACCTCACAAGAATTAATGGTCAGGCTGCTGATCCCCTTGGTGAAACCCCATGAGCACTTATGATAGCACATGCTCGATCTCACCTAAGCCTCAGCAACCCTATGAGTGAAGGTACCATTATGAGTCCCATTTAACAAAAAGGAAGACTTAGGGGAGTTAAATAAATTATTCAAGATTCAGTAGTCCTTAAGTGGCAGAGATCAAATTTAAGCCTAAACTTGTGTAAGGCCATACTCTAAATTTCTGGAACTAAACAAAACAGAATTAACCAATAAACACTAATAATCTCATAGATTCACCTGAGAATACCTGGGTACCACAACTTTAATGCTTTTCTTTAAAAAGATTATAAGAGTAATATTTTGTCATTATGAAAAAATCTAGAAAATACAAAAGCATGACCATTAATTTAGCCTTGAACAAGTTAATCCCAACCTCAGATAGCTATTATTCATTTTATATAAAGGTATATTTAATCACTGAGATATTTGGTTAATATAATTTTAAAAATTCTTTTATTATATGTTCCATGTGTACAGTATTCTAATTTGACATCTGTATACACTCTAAAGCGATCATCAGCACAAGTCTAGATACCATTCATCACCATACAACTGATGGATAATATAATTTTATATCCTTTTTTATAATCTGAGTGATACTATATGGGCAGTGATAAATTCAGAAACAGCAGAGTAAAGGTTTTCATTTTCAGTTAGTCACCCGTCTAAAGGTTAACCAGTTTTCTTCCTAATATCTGAAAGTTTCACTCACTCATGTTAAAGGTTTCTTTTCATTCCTTCCTTCTGGCCTCACCTCCAGAGTCAGTTTTATAATCATCTACTTCATTCAACTGTTCTCACCTTTGTCATTCCCTCCCTGGGTCCACGCTGAGAAAGAGCTGCCTGGAGGCCTCTAAGAGCAGGCAGGATGCCGCGGACAGAGGACGCGGTGTTCCTGGGAAGGTAGAAGCTGTAGAGCTGTGAGTGAGAGCAGGAAAGAGCAATCCAGCCAGGGATCCTCTTACTCAGCCAGACTTTAAGTTTCAAATTGGAATGTTCCCAGCTCCAGATTCTTGTGTTTGTGGCAGGTGAGGGCCTGGTTCTTTGCAGCTGAAATCCTGGAGGTAGAGCATGTCTACATTTTGGCATTTTATTATCAAGCACAGACTGAAAGATCTGATCGGAAGCAAGCACCTGCTGTGGCAGGGATCAATCCCTTGCCTTGCTTTCTTTATTTACCCTGATGGAAGGGGAGGCAAACAGCCAAGACAGTGAATGAGAGGTTCCCAACAGCAGGAAGTCATCCAGGAGGAAATTACCCAGGACTACTTCTGGAGAAGAAAGAAGCAAGGCTCTGGAGATATGCTAAGTGAAATAAGCCAGTCAGAGAAAGACAAGTATCACATGACCTCACTTATATGTGGAACCTAACGACAAAATAAACTGATAAATGGACTAGAACCAGAGGCATGGGAACAGGGAACAGACGGACAAATCTCAGAGGGAAGGGCAGGGACTGGGAAGAGATCAACCAAAGAATTTATGTGCTTGTATGCATTGCCCATGGACACAGACAGTAGGGTGGTGAAGGAATGGGGTGGGGAGGAACTGGGTGGGGGGTGCACTAGGGGGTGAAAATGGGGGACATCTGTAATACTCTCAACAATAAAGATTAAAAATAAAAACCTTTTTTATAAAAAAGGAGGAAAAAAGCAGGGCTCTGTAGTCAGGGCTGGAGGGTTTTGTGAAGGGGCAGGGTTAGGGGAGGGGGAGACTTTGCTCTTCAAGACATTAAACCTCATTTCCAGAGCTTCCTTTAACTGGAATAGGAATGAGTGACGGGGAGGCCACATGGTGCCTGCTTGGACCCAATTGGGGAACCAGTTCAGCCAAAAAAAAACTGGTTAAACTGACCTGCTCTCCAGAGAACTGAATAGCGACCAATGCAGTTAAATCGAGTGTACCAGTTGTACTGAAAATAGAATATAAAGGAATGGTTTCCCCATTGCCCCGCCCCAGTCCTTCACGTCAGAGTAGCCACTCCCGTAGGAGGCTGTGTTAATCCTCTAGGCCACGCATGTCAAACTCAAAGGCTAACAAGGGCCAAATAAATAAGGCTTATGTTTATGTGGGCCGCAAAAAAAACAAAAGCTTCAATTTTCATAGAAATGTAGGTTTATTTTGATAGAGACATGCTGAATACAAAGGGCTGAAATAAATGAGTCATTGTTAACACAAAATAATAGAATATTTTAATAAAAATTAATATTTTTTTCTTGAACATTAACTTACCAGACACTGAATAACTGAACAAATTAATAAGCGTAACGCACATAAACCTATTTTTCTTGTTCTCCGGAAGTGAAATATTTCCTGTTGCGCATACAAAACAAGTCAGTACAAGACTAATGACGTGGCAATCGGCTGCTAAAATATTTGCTGCTAGTTTTAGTGGAGAGAAATGGTGCGCTTGCGCATAAGGCGCGTGAGGGAAATGAATGCCACACGATTATAGTAATCAGTCATTAGCAAACGTTGAATCGTTTGTTATTGATAATTATGTATAACAGAATTTGTAAAAGTTAAGTTACGAAATTTTTATTAAAATGTTTCTTACATACCGTTATATTGGCTGGGCTGCAAAAATATTCGTTGTGGGCCGCATGCGGCCCGTGGGCCGGGAGTTTGACATGCTTGCTCAAGGCGCAAGGCTCTGTGAGGAGGATGTCTGATTCAGATTTTTAAAAACTAGGAATGGACTCCTTTTTTTTTCTACTAGAAGATCCTTTCACTTAGGAATATGTATTGACTGTCCTGTGCCAGGCTATGTGCTAGGCACAGGCAATACAGTCTCCTCGCCCTCAGGAGGAGCTCGGGTGCTAGGCCATGAACTGGGCTCACTAATCCTAAAGCCTCAGCTCTCATGTCCTTTCTATCCATGTGTGACTATTGTGTGTTTTTCAGTGCTCGGCAGTGTGTTTTTTTCCTGGCTTTCATTGTAACTGGACAACCAAGGGGTCCGGGCTGTTTGTCACCTCTTGAGCCAATTAAGCAGAGACAGGGTTGAATCATATATGAGCGTTTATTCCAGTAATGCCGACAGAATGGGAGAGCAGCAGGTCATCCACAAAAATCTGCTCTGCCCCTCCCCATAAGCCAGCTGCTTATATTGGGTAGAAGGACAAAGATTATGTGGGAAAGTAGGAATTATAGGCATGGGAAAGTAGGCATGGTATAATAATTGCAGGTTATAAGTCATGTGGGCTGGGGAGGGGGTATCTCAGAGGGTGGGTGCCTCCGGGCACCCCGGGACCAGATTACAGGAAATAGGGGCTGGAGGTTGTGAAGAGCAGGTGCCTCCGGGACTAGATTGCTTCAGCCACAAGGTTGTAAATCTTTCCATAATGATGGGCAGTTCTCGGGGCAGGAGGATGGACTGCATTCCAATGTTAGCTCCCATGTCCCAGAGCATACAACTCCCAGCCAGGTTAGAATATGCTTTCTTTCTTTTCTTGTTTGTTTTAAATTTAAATTATTTATTGTTTAAAGTATTACATATGTCTCCTTTTCCCCCAATTGACCTCTCCCCAGCCGTTTCCACCCCCCAGCACATGCCCTCACCCCCCTACTGTCTGTGTCCATTGGTTATCCTTATATGCATGCATACAAGTCCTTTGGTTGATCTCTTACACCTCGACCCCCCACCCACCCTGCTCCCCTGCCTTCCCTCTGAGGTTTGATAGTCTGGATCTATTTTTGTTCATCAGTTTATGTTGGTCATTATATTCCAGAATGTGCTTTCTTTAATCAAAACAAAATAATCATGGTAAACAGAGCATGATTAATATTTCTTATTTTATTTCTTATAACTAATAGCTAGTCCCCAATATTATGTTTCTGCCCCGAACATTATGGGACTCCTTGATCCTTGAACTCTGCCCCAATTATTGCAGTCATCCAGAGGTCATTAAGAAAAAGTAATCAATAGACCACACGCTCAGCCATAGACAGTGAAAAGCAGCTTCAAGAGAGGAAGCTGTAAAGGATTTCATTGAAGATCCCAAATGTGCATGCGAAGTAATTGTCGAGGGTCAACCAGAACAGTCAGCTCTGTCTCAGGGCCTTTGTGGGTTCTGCAGAGTCCACCTAGAAAACCGTTCCTTTTGAGTCCTAGCTCCTTCTCGGGTGATGGAGCCAGCTCTTGTCCGTGTGTAACTCTGCTGGGCTGTAACCACAGGGATGTTCAGTGATCTCTCTGTTTCTTTCCTTTCAGTCTTCAAGGAGAAGCCTAAACATCCTCCCAGCAGGGCCCAATCCCTGAGCTATTCCTTAGTACCGGAAACTTCGTACTTAAATCCCATCATCCGGCTCTTCAAAAACCTCAACTTCAAGCTGCTTATCATCACCTATGGTAAGATGCAGATGTGTCCGGGAGTGTACCTGAGCTGGGAATGTGAGGCAAGAGGCCTGATGTGTCTGTGCATCTGACTTTTTCCAGATCCCAAATGTGCATGCGAAGTAATTGTCGAGGGTCAACCAGAACAGTCAGCTCTGTCTCAGGGCCTTTGTGGGTTCTGCAGAGTCCACCTAGAAAAGCGTTCCTTCCGGTGTCGGGTTATCTGGCAAATGCCTGCTGATCCTCCGCGTCTTATTTCGGTATCACTGCTGTAAAGCAGCATTAGGTGATCTTTCCTGTCTTGCTGTGCTGTCCCATGTCCAGGTCTGTCTTCTCACTAGACAAGGATCTCCTTGAGAGCAGAGATTTATATGTCTTTTCATCTTTATAATTATGTCTTTTCATCACCTGTAGTGCTGGCCTGGAGTGGATACTGCTATAGTTATTGAGTGAATGAATGACTCTTAATAAATAAATGCATGCAAGCATGAGTCTTGCCATAGGAATCACTCCTCCACCAGTCTTCCTTCATCTTGTAACATGGACTCCTTTTGTATTTATTTGAATGTAAGACAATATCCTCTTTCATTTTATTTTTTAAAAATATATATTTTTATAAATTTCAGGGAGGAAGGGAGAGGGAGAGAGAGATACAAACATCAATGATGAGAGAGACTCATTGATTGGCTGCCTCCTGCACACCCCCTACTGGGGATTGAGCCCGAAACCTGAGCAAGTGCCCTTGACCTGAGTCGAACTCAGGACCCTTCAGTCCGCAGGCCAACGCTCTATCCACTGAGCCAAACCAGCTAGGGCCTCTTTCATTTCGTTTTGTTGGCTTTTGGTAAGGTAAATTTTAATCTTCATGCTGGTGTATTGGCTTGCCTCTCCAGCATGGTGTTTTCTGCATCTTTTTTCCAACCTTTAATAAGAATGTTAGATCAGACAAGGGTAAGAACAGAACCTCGTGGCATTCCATTAAACAGATCCACCCAACTGGACTGCTCTCCGTCTTACATTTGACCACTTAATCGACTAGTTAGTTTAAAATCAAGAGTCAACAAATGTATAACATGCTCAATAACTCTACAGGTATTTAAAAAATGAGATTGGTTTAACATGATTTATTCTTGGTGAAACCTCAGTTAACTATAACCTTATATTCTCTCTAGGTTCATAAGCCATGGGTTTTATAGCAACAATAGCATTTACGATGTCCCAAGACTTTCCACATATGCTTTTATTTAACTTCCCCCACACCCACGTCAGGTAGATACTATAACTATCCCCAATTAACGTATGAGGAAACTGAAACTCAGAGGAATTAGCTAACTAGCTTGAGATCACACAGCTTTTAAGTGCCAGGATTCAGATACAGGTTTGCCTAACTCCAGCTCCTGCCTGCTTGATGCTTGTTACACACTAGTAATTGCCTATGGTCCTTCCTAAAATTGTGCCATGGTTTCATGTTAGGCTTATCAATGCCCTTTATCTCAAAGTGTTTATCTGATAAAGCATTGATAAGAGGTGGCATCATTTCTGGGTAGAGAGGCACGCCTAAGTGTTTCTGGCACACACGTAGTTCAGTGACCTCTCATCTGGAATAGCTCTAGGTAACTAGATTAGTCTTCAAGGTCTCGGGTCTCCAGGCCTCATTCTCTCCAAGCTTCTCAGGTCTTAGGATATCTCTGCATGCATCCATAAGAATAGGCTGGCTCATGTGCGTTGATGGGCAAAGCAATTCACTTCTGAGTCTCCGAAGCATTGGACTCTGTTGTATGTGGGTAGGATTTATTAACATTTTCCTCAAAGGCCTGGGGGTACCTGGATGTCTGTACTCAACTCAGAGAACCACAAGCCTAATTTCCATGGGAGAGAATTGGACGTGGAGACAAGGCTCTTTGCCAAACAAGGAAATAATTCTTAAGTGTAAACACAAGAAAAAAACTTGTTGAGCCCATTACTGTGTGTTAGGCACCTTGTGAAGGGCTTTACATGCATTATCTCTTTAAATCTTTGAAGCAAACCCATGACACAGGTCCTTAACTCTATTCCATTTTATACCCGAGGAAACCGAGGCCCTTGTTTCGTTCCTAGCCCACCAGCGGACAGCTAGCAAGCAACAGAGCTTGGATATACCCTTCTGTCCGTCTGAGGCCTGAGCCTGTCTTTCTAACCAACGGCATCTTGCCTCCTCATGCAGAACCCAGCCTCTCGGAGACAGAGCCGGGCTCCTTTCTTAGCCCACTGCCCAGGTGGCCTTGGGTGTATCCTGGGGAGTGTGTTCTTCCTCAGATTGAATTCTCCAGACCAGTTAACACGGGGGTTGCTTTCTTCTAGGGCAGTGGTTCTCAACCTTCCTAATGCCGCAACCCTTTAATACAGTTCCTCATGTTGTGACCCAACCATAAAATTATTTTCGTTGCTACTTCATAACTGTAATGTTGCTACTGTTATGAATCGTAATGTAAATATCTGATATGCAGGATGTATTTTCATTGTTACAAATTGAACATGATTAAAGCATAGTGATTAATCACAAAAACAATATGTAATTTTACATGTGTTTTCCGATGGTCTTAGGCGATCCCTGTGAAAGGGTCGTTTGACCCCCAAAGGGGTCGCGACCCACAGGTTGAGAACTGCTGTTCTAGGGTGTGGATCTAGAGTTTGAGGGTTTGGGAAGCAGGACCATCCTATTGGCCAGCCATCTGTGGGATTTGGGGATGATGGGGTCACAGCCTCAGTGTGTGTTTCTTTAAGGTTTGCAGGTCATGTAAAGGCAGTTCACCCGAGAATCTCTGCTTTCTTCTCCCACTATCTTTGCTCCAAATTAAAAAACAAAACCAAAAACAAACCTCTATAAATTCAGCACATGGCTGGCCTCAGAGTAAGAGCCTTGAACGCTGGTCCGGTGAGTTCAGACTTGCGCATAAAGAACGGGAGGTCTGAATTTTGGTGTCAGTTACTGAGTGTACCACCTCCACCCATCTTTTGTCTTTCTAATCCCCCCTACTCCCCCCCTCCCACATTTTTTAAAATATGTTTTTACTGATTTTAAAGAGAGAAGAAGGGAGAGAGAGAGAGAGAGAGAGAAACATCAATTGACTGCCTCCTGCACACTCTTTGCCCCCAAACCGCTGGGGATCAAGCCTGAAACCCAGGCATGTGCCCTGACTGGGAATCAAACCCGAGACCTCTTGATGCATGGGTCGACGCTCAACCACTGAGCAATGCTGGCAGGGCCCTTTTCTTTTCTTTCTTTTAAGTATATTCTTATTTATTTCAGAGAGGAAAGGAGAGGGAGAGAGAGTTAAAAACATTAATGATGAGAGAATCATCAATCAGCTACTTCCTACATGCCCCCCCGCATTGGGGATTGAGCCCCATTCCTTAAACTCGCTTTGGAAAGAATGGCAGCCTTCCAGGGTGAGCCCTGCACTGCCCCCCATGCTCCTGCCCTCACTTCTGCCTTAGCGGTGACTCCATCTCCGGGCTGCCTGGGTAGGGGATGGCTATTGATAACATTTGCTTCTCATTGGAGTTCTCTGAATGGGAACAAAAGCTACTGAGTCCGCTGCCCAGAACTGAAGTGCAGTGAAGGCTTCAGAGGAATGTCCCTATAGGGTCTGGCCACACCCTTAGAGGTAGTTTTTTGAGATAAAATAAGGGCCATCAAGTTAAACGCATACCTGGGTTGCCAGTTTGCTCCCACTCCCAGTCAGGCACGTGCAGGAGGTAACCAGTCGATGTGTCTCTCTCACATTGATGTTCCTCTCTCTCCCCCTTCCTCCCTCCTTCTCTCCCTCCTTCCTTCCTTCTCTCCCTCCCTTCCACTCTCTCTGAAAAAAATCAATGGAGGAAAAAAAAAACATGGCCTATGTGATAGGACCTAGGATCAGTGTTCTCCAGGTTTGCCTAATGATAGAATTCCCTGGGGTGATCGATTGAATGCATGCAAAGATTTCCATGCCTCTCTCCTGGATATTCAAATCCAGAATTTGAATTTCTGGGTCTGTCCCTGGAAATCTGCTATTAGCAAGCATTCTAGGCTATTCTGGTTTGCAGCAGGGTCGAGAACCTCTAACGTAGGTATGTTACGGGTCATTCTCACAGTCTTGAAGTCCCTTCCCACCCCTGCTGCCTCCATGTTAACCCCACACCTGAGACCTGGGCCTGGCCATTGATCTTCAGTATTCCCAAGGCCCTTTATGTCCAGGTTTTGTTTGTTTGGTTGGTTTTTGTTAAAATGTAGATTTCTAGCGCCATTCCAGGAGATTCAGCTAGAGTAGGCCCAGGGCAGAGCCCACGTGTCTGCACGTTTGAACTCTGAGGACTTCTAATGTCAGTGGTCCCTGGGCCACAGTTTGAAAAAACTACTCTTGACAAGGAGAGACTCAGAGTGATGACGAGTCCTTTCTGCCTTCCTAAAGCCCTCCCCCTCAGGGACTGGTACTTCCTCTGGGGAATGATACCAGGAATGAACAGGCCTTTTAGGGAAGATCACATTTGCTCATAGGAGTATGGCCCTCACCCAGCAGGCTTAACTTGCTGGAGCTATACATGCCCAGATATAGCACCTGTATTCCTATAAGAGGCACTCAAGCACAGAGCAGAGCACGTATTTCATTCCTGCCCTTCTTGTGGGACGCTGAGTCCCTTGGTTTGGGCGGTGGAGTAGACTGGTACTGTTTAACTCTGCTGGGGAGAGACAGCTAAACTAGAGACTGATTCAGAAACCATACATAATATGCTCCCAATTCCTAATTCCTGTAGAAACAGTTGGAAAGAATGGCAGCCTCCCAGGGTGAGCCCCATTCCCCTGCCCCCCACCTCTCCTGGCTGCCTTTGAGTGGGGGTTCGCTATCGAAAAACTAGACTAGTCTAGCTAAGCCAGTGGGCCTCATACTTGAGCACTATCCGAAGTACCTGGAGGGCTTGTTGACACATAGATCACAGAACTCCCACAGTGACTGCTGCAGCAGGTCTGTGGAGGTGACAGGAATGTGCATGACTAACAAGCTCCCAGCTGCTGATAATAATCTGGAACTGATTTCCCTAAAGCACTGAGTCCCCATGAAAGTAGTGGTGTAGCTCAACCAGCTCTTGTGTTTCAGGTGGGTTTTTTTGCTCCCAGTCCTCTTGTTCACCAGATTGTCCTGGCAGCGTCCAGGACCTCCAGGTTCTTGACTCGCACAGGAAAGAATTCAAGAACAAGTCCAAGTGAGAGTGAAAGGAGTTTTCTTTAGGTAGAAAAAGAGGCTAGGACATGGGTTCCTGGAAGCAGGATCGGGATGAGCCTGGGACAGCTGCTGCCATCTGCTGCTCCCCCAAACATGGCGAAAGAAGTGAAAGTACACATCGGAGTGGATGCAGGCTCACTGGGTCAGTCAGTTTTTCAGAGTTTATGTTTCCAAGGGTCAGGTTGTTTTTGAACTTCGTGGTGCCAAATTATGACTCCGCCTTTTGGTGGGGGGGGGCAGCGGGGTCTTGTTCCTAATATGACCTGTTCCGAAAGTGCCCTGATGTTTGTCCTTCTCAGTCCCCCTCTACCTGTGGTGTCATTATAATCTACACTAATAAAAGAGAAACATGCAAATTGGTGTCACTCCACTACACCCACCAGCCAATCAGATGAGTATGCAAATTAACCCAACAAAGATGGCAGTTAATTTGCATATGCAGGCGCCAGAGCGAAGACTGAAGACTGAAGAGGCTTGGCTTCTCTGCTGCCAAGCCTTGCTGCAGCCTCAGCGGAGAAGCCAAGCCTCGCCTCGCTGCAGCTGGACCAAAGGCCTGGGTCCCAGGTGCCGGAGGAAAACCGGTGCCGGCAGCCAGGGGAAAGAAGGCCTATTGCACGAATCTCTTCGTGCAATGGGCCTCTAGTCCTATTTAATAAAATGCAAATAGACCGAACGGCAGAACAACCGAACAACCAATCAAAGGGTTGATTGGTTGTTAGAATTCCCTGGGGTGATCGATTGAATGCATGCAAAGATTTCCATGCCTCTCTCCTGGATATTCAAATCCAGAATTTGAATTTCTGGGTCTGTCCCTGGAAATCTGCTATTAGCAAGCATTCTAGGCTATTCTGGTTTGCAGCAGGGTCGAGAACCTCTAACGTAGGTATGTTACGGGTCATTCTCACAGTCTTGAAGTCCCTTCCCACCCCTGCTGCCTCCATGTTAACCCCACACCTGATATGCTAATGATATGCTAAGGCTGCTCAACCGCTCACTATGACATGCACTGACCACCAGGGGGCAGATGCTCCAACCGGTAGGTTAGCTTGCTGCTGGGGTCCGGCCCATTGGGACTGAGCAAGATGGGCCAGACACGCCCTGGAGCCCTCCCGCTGTCCCTCCCGGCCTGTTCATGCACCGATGGGGTCCCTCAGCCTGGCTTGTGCCCTCTCGCAATCCGGGACCCCTTGGAGGATGTCAGAGAGCCGGTTTCAGCCAATCCCACAGGCCACTCCCCTTGGGAGGGCACCAGACGCAGGGCCTATGGCTGGGGAGCGCTGCTGTGGCAGCGGGAGCCTCTCCAGATTGGGACTGATTGGGCGTGAGCTTGTGGCAGGCACAGTGGGGCTGGGATGAGCGGGAGCGGCAGGTAGGAGCTGCAGGGCGCGGTGGACTGCGGGGTTTGGCCCAATCCCTGCAGGCCACCCAGAGGGACCCCATCCGTGCACAAATTTGTGCACCGGGCCTCTAGTGATTATATAATGAGCTTTGGGGCCTTTCTCTGGTCAATTTTTCCTCCATTTTGGATTGATTTGGTTTTAGCAAGGCCTTGTTGTTGACTTCTTCGGCCACTACAGGAGTTTCCTGCCATAGCTGTCTTCCCTTTGGTTATGCCTGGAGTTGGGGGCTCTGATGAGAGGACCTAGTGGCTTATCGACCTGTGATGTCCGCTCCTACTTACTCATTTCACTTGTCGGGAGCTTTTCCTAGCTTCTTTCTATCCTGCCTCACTCCTGGATAATTTCCCTCTGTTTCCTGTGGATTTTGCTCTCCTTCTTCATTCCAGGTGGACCCAAGTTCAGAGTAGCCATCAAACCTTAAGCTGAGTGTGACTTGGAACATTATCTTGCCCCTTGCAGTGTGAGGCTCGGACCATACGCTGAGAGGGGCCGAGAGGTGTGAGGAGCAGGACTAGGGGCTACTTTCATTCTTCTCCTTGCCCACATTCCACCCCACCACCCTTTTAAGGAATGTGTCCTTTTGTGGGTCCCCTGGACTCAGGAATGGAATTTCCAAGTGGCTGGGTGTGTGGTGTAAAGATTAGGTGAGTATGCTTATTGCTTAAGAAGTCCTCGAGAGCCTCAAAGTTGTGTACGAAAATGGGTTCTATGGAAAGTAATCTCACAGGGTGATCTGAACAGTTGTGTTTTTTTTTAATCCTCACCCTCGAACATGTTTTTTTTTTATTGATTTTTATTTATTTATTATTGATTTCAGAGATGAAGGGAGAGGGAGAGAGAGATAGAAACATCCACGATGAGAGAGAATCATGGATCGGCTGCCTACTGCACGCCCCCTACTGGAGATCGAGCCCTGACTTGGTGTGGCTCAGTTGGTTGAGCATTGACCCATGCACCAAAAGGTCGCTGGCTGGATTCCTGATCAGGGCACATACCCTGGTGTGGGCTCAATCCCAAGGGTATCAATTGAGGTTTCTCTCTCTCTTTCACCCTCTCCCTTCCTCTCTCTCAAACCAATAAAAACAAACAAAACAAAACAAACAAAAAAGAATGAGGACTCTAGAGCCATACCCTCTGGGTTGAAATCCAGCTCTGCCACTTACTACCCGTGTGATTGTGGGACTAGCACACAAAACTTCCTTTCTCATTTTGCATGAGAATTTGATCTTCGTTTCACTTTGTATATCCTTCTTCTGGGAACCTGAAAAAGGGAGTGAGTCCGCTGCACGTATGCAACTCTGCTTATGATAAAAATGCCTTCTGTGGTAAAAATGACTACAGCTGGACTGGGAGACCTTCTCATATCTGATAAGAAGCCATTCTTTGTGTTTTGCTGAGTTTAGTGACTCTTTCACTGTCCTGTCCTTTATGGGGACCCTGGAAGCTATGCCTATGGCATTGTTGCAAGCAGTCGTGGCTCCTGTCAGGTGTTAAACCAGAGTGGTTGCCACAGCCACCTTTTCCTGCACTGAGCCATCACCTTGCGGGCCAACGAGAATGGCTTCTGGATGGCTGGATGGCTGGGGTTCTGTGCACTGGTCCCATTGAAAAGGAGCCCTAAGGCTGCCCTGTTAGAGAGCTGTGTCCCTTCTAAGTGCATCTCATGTCAAGTGTCAGTGGTAGTCTTATGAGTCTCGACGTTTAGTTAAAACTAAAAGGTCTCAAAAAAAAAAAACAACACAAAAAAACAAACAAAACAAAAAACTAAAAGGTCTCCTGGTGTATTTGATTTTCAACTCTGTGCATTTTTCTCATCTATAAATTGGGGAAGATAACACCAGCTGCTTTCTAGGGTTGTTGGGAGGATTTTAAGGCGCGTAGAACAGTGTCTAGCACACAAGTATGTGCTGCTGCCGTTACCACCACCACCACCATCATCATCATCATCATCATCATCATGAATGTTACTAGGAAGGGAGGGCAGGAGGCCCTTTCTCCTTTGGGTCAGTTCTAGTCTCATCTCATAGTTACTGTAACTCGCTATATGGCTTTGGACAAATGACCTCATTCTCTAAGGACACAGCTTCTAACAGTATATTCCAGGTTTTCCATTTATGTGTTGAACGAGTCGATGAATTAGAAGAGGCAACTAAATGCTTTTTAGGGTCCTTTCTGGTTTCACATATAAGGTTTTGTGTGGCATTGATTCTGAGAAGAAAGCTGAAGGAGCAACGGGGAAGGAGGTGAGAAACCACCTGCAGAGGGAGTGGTGTCAGGGGTCAGAGGTCTGGAGAGGGGACAGGTCATCAGGTAGAGGTGGAAGGTGTCCAGTAGTTCCGCTTACCTCATACATCCAGCCAAGGGCTTAAGAAAGGGCTGTGGATGATGCTGACGTGGGAGAAATGCTTCCCAGGACCTAGAGCAGGCTTAAAGGGACCAGAGGGCCAGGTTGAAATGGCTGCTTTTGGTTGTTTTGGAGTATTTCTTGGAGAAAAACCTGCAGAGTAGCCTCATACTCCCTGGATTTTTTTCTTCTCTGAGGACACCATTCACAGTGGCAATGAGAACGAGGATTTCCGACCTCCTGACCTGCTGGGGGGAGGAGCTAGCAGTGGCCCCCGCAGAAGGCCAGCCCTAACGCTGTGTGTTTCTCCCTCCCTCCTTAGGTCTGAATACTGGGGCTTTTTATGCCTTGTCCACTCTGCTGAATCGCATGGTGATCTTGCACTTTCCGGTAAGGGAGTCCCCTAAGCATGCGGGGCCTGGAGAGAATGAGGTTCCTGAGTCTGTCTCTGCAGGAGCTGGGGTAGTGGTTAACCCTTGGATCCCCCACTTCTAGGCAGCAGGGTACGGTGGTATGCTTATGGGATTTGGAGGGTCTCAATCCCAGCTCTGGTGGCACTAAACTGTGTGACAAGCTAGTTCGTGTCTCTGAGCATAATTACTTACTGAAAGGTTATTTTTAGGATTAGAAAGTAAATAATACTGTGTGTGTCTATGTGTATATTTATATATGTTATCTATACATAGAGCACATAGCATGCCACCTGACAACAGAGTAAGTAAACATAAATATTTGGAGTCACATCTGAAATATTTAATTTGTAAAATATGGGCAAAGTTTAATTTTGCACTCTCAGTTACTCAACTGCAAGTATTGTTTAAATGCTTCCAGAACCAGTGAGAACTGGATGTGGGGAATGGGATACTGACTATCCTGGAGGCAGGAATCCCAGGTCTAACCTTTCTGTGAAAGGACCAGGGTCGCGTAGTTACAGAGGTGGTCACTGCCGCTAAGTGTTCCAGTTTTGGAGTTTGACAGGTCTGAGTTCAAATCCTAGCTCAGCATTTAATAAATGCCTCGTGACCTTGGACTGATAGGTTCATCTCACTGTGCCTCAGTTTCTTCATCTGAAAAATGGGGAGTACTGATTCCTAACCTTATGGTGGGGAATTATGAGAATCAAATGGGAGAATGATGTAAACTCCTTGGCATGGTGCCTGGCTCATAAAAGTAAGGGCTCACAAATATATCACTATTATTTTACCATTCCTCTTGGCACTAATAGCTCAAAAACACCTAAGTATGGGATATTTGGATATACATACTTCATTTTACCTATCTGTGAAATGGGAATAATGATAAATAAAAGAGTTGCTATAAGGATTACATTTAAAAAAAAATCTTCCTCAAAGTGGTTCTAAGGACAGAATTTGGCTCACCCCAGCATCCGATATCAGGCACCCACATCTGGGGTTATATTTTGTTGGGAGGATTTTCTTCCCGTTGGCAGCCTCTTACAGGGCTGCCCTGATACCGTTTGAAAACTGGGTCTAATGGAGCCTGAGTTCCTTGCCTTTGCCCCTCACCTCGTGGTGACTGTGCTCTGCCTGGGCCTTGTCCTGTCGCTGGCTGATCGTTGGGGTTGTGGTTTTCTTTCCCAGGGGGAAGAAGTGAATGCTGGAAGAATAGGCCTGACCATTGTCATTGCAGGAATGTTTGGGGCTATGATCTCAGGTATCTGGCTGGATAGGTCCAAAACCTACAAGTAAGTGATTCTTCCTCTCGGACTGGGAACTGGGGGTCTCATTTTGAAATGACACGTTCATTTAGCAATGCAGCTCCAAAGGTTTCGGTGCGGCAACTGAGTGGTCACGGGGGTGGTTCACATTGATCTACTCTGAGCCTCATTTTCCTCATTTATAAAACAAGGGAAACAATACCTGCCCGGTGGGGGGTCTTAGCGAGATTAGAGATAAAGGACATGAGGCCTAGCCCAGTACCACTCTCCCAAGTATAGCTGTGCAAGGGACAGGTGGGGGAGAAATGACAATGAATGTAGAAAAATGTCAGCAGTTGGAAAGTTTGTGGAAACCCCAAAGGGTGGAGATGAGGGAGTGATTCCACTGGCCTGTTCTCAGGGCTCCCTTGGACCCCATGGCCTTATCAGTGGTGCTCTGTGCTTACTTTGGTTTGCAGTGTATTATCTTGCAATTGCTTCTACTGTACCTTGTTGGTAAATATTGTGATGTGCTTTGGGTCTGAATGCCCAGAGCATTTCTAAGAGCCCAGAGTGGTCTTCTTAAGATTTTAGTGTATGTCAGCCCTGGCCGGGTGGTTCATTGTCCCATACACCACAAAGTTTCAGGTTCGATTCCTGGTCAAGGCACATACTGGTTGGAGCATGTAAGCAATGGATGTTTATCTCTTTCTCTAAAATCAGTGAACATATCCTCAGGTGAGAATAAAAAAATAAAAAAAAAAAAGGCCCTAGCCGGCTTGGCTCAGTGGATAGAGCGTCAGCCTGTGGACTGAAGGGTCCCAGGTTCGATTCCGGCCTAGGGCACATGCGTGGGTTGCTGGCTCAATCCCCAGTAGGGGGTGTGCAGGAGGCAGCCGATCAATGATTCTCTCTCATCACTGATATTTCTCTCTCTCTCTCCTTCTCCCTTCCTCTCTGAAATCAATAAAGAAATATTTTTTTAAAAAAAAAGATTTTAGTGTATGTCAAACTAATTCAGGATGCTATTAAAAATACACACTTGTGGACTCCACTGTCATGGATGCCAGTTCAGTAGGGGAATCTGCATTTGCCTCAATCTGCATTTGTGTCAAATGCCTCAAATTCAATAGACAGGCTCAGAAAAAAGACTGAATAAAATAGGCACAACATTCTTCTCTTCTTACTGTATATATTTTTTTAAGAATATATTTTTCTTGATTTCATAGAGGAAGGGAGAAGGAGAGAGAGATACAAATATCAATGATGAGAGAAAATCATTGATCGGCTGCCTGCTGCACGCCCCCTATTGGGGATCGAGTCCGCAACCCGGGCATGTGCCCTTGACCGGAATTGAACTTGGGACCCTTCAGTTCGCAGGCCGACGCTCTATCCACTGAGCCAAACTGGCTAGGGCTACTGCATCTTTCCAGCGCTCTGCATGCATTGGGTGCTCAATTAATGCTGGCCAGCAGGGCGGCTGCCAGGGTTGCCCTGCGCTGGGTCAGGGCGGCATTCTGGGCTGCTTTGACAAGGCCTCCAAAGTTCCCAGTGTCTGGAGGCGACAAGACAGTGGCAGACCTGTTCTCTGCCCCACAAACCCACTTCTGTGCAGCTCTGGTCAGACCAGGTCTCACTGTGGCTGCCCTAGTCAAAGGCCAATTGAGTCCATCCACAGTGATGTGTCTGCCTGGCTAAACATGACGAAGGCCTGGCTGGGCTTAATTAACTGCTGCTGGAGCTTGGCTTCCCACTCGTCTCTCTCATCTGTCAATTGCTTGCTTCAGCCACACAGGAGAGCAGTGCTTGCTCGGTGGCAGGAGGAGGAGGAGGAGGAATTTTGCTAAGGCTGGAATGTGGGCAGCAGATGATTCAGAGGAAAATACAGTGAAAGGGCTGGAGAGGACCCTTCAGGACCTCGATACCACCAGTCCCTTTGCCCCATTCGATGCCGAGGTCCTGCAGGCAGCACCAGCCACTCCCTGCACTACTCCCCAGGGAGAAAGGACCAGCGAAAACTGTGATCCAGTCTTTTCGGTGCCTGTCCGTTTCTCCCTGAGGCCCTCAGATTTGTCCTGTCCTGGTTTGGAGGCTGGAAATGAGGTGGTCAGGTCCCTTTATCTTCAGGCTGGGACTACAGATAGTTTTTCTAGATGGATCAGTGGTTTGAGATGAAGCCGTGGTTGAACAAACCTGGGGAAAGATGAGGGGGCGGTGTCAGCGAGAGAGAATGGTGTTCATGAAGTTGCTTCCTGCAGGGTGGGTCAGACTAGATGAGGGGAGCAGGGCGGAGGAAGGACAAAGCTCCTCTATCCGCAGCAGCTCTGAAGTGCCGGGTGGGAGGGGCATCCCCTATAGGCTCTGGCCGCGAGCTTTTCCAAAGCTGCAGCCACGCTGAGTATTCGCATCCTCTGTGCAATAGAGGAAAGAGCGCAGAGTTCCAATCCCAGCTTCGGGTCCAAGTCCCAACGCTGCATTTGTTCAACGGGTTCCTTTAGACTAGTAACCTAACTAGCTTGAGCCTCAGTTTTCTTATTTGTCAAAGTAGGGATAGTCATACATTTCTCTCAGGGCTTTTATGTTTGAGTGAAATAATAAATGAATGTAAAATGCTTTAGAGCAGTGGTTCTCAACCTTCTGGCCCTTTAAATACAGTCCCTCCTGCTGTGACCCAACCATAAAATTATTTTCGTTGCTACTTCATCACTGTAATGTTGCTACTGTTATGAATCGTCATGTAAATATCTGATATGCAGGATGGTCTTAGGCGACCCCTGTGAAAGGGTCGTTCAACCGCCAAAGGGGTCGTGACCCCCAGGTTGAGAACCGCTGCTTTAGAGAATTCCTGGCACCCAAGAGCTGTAGGTATTAGTTTGACATTACCATTGTATCCGTCCTCAGATGCCCCCACCAGGTTTATGGCTTCAGGAGAAATGTGTGAAGGCTTTAAACTTGCATCGTCAGAGACCTGATGTTCAGCGCAGGAGGGAAGAGGTGTACGCAGAGCTGCTCCCCTGCAATAAGTAGGGCAAGGAGAGGAGTAGGAGTCAGGGCCCCAGCAGAGTCCAGAGTGGGCGCCATGGGAGACGTGTGGGGAGGGGCACACGCTGGGTGAGCCTGAAACAGACCAGCTCATTGCTGATGGTCCTTCTGAGGGGACAGACGAAGGGAAGTGTGACAGGGAGTGGGCGGGGCTTTCTCACTTGGGCGTCACACACTTAGTTCAGGGCTGGAGAATGTTCTCGTTTAGTTCCTGCTGTCTGGAGTAATTCAGATTCAGCAGGAAAACCCGTGCAAGTGGCAGCAGGAAGAATGTAGAGATGACAGAGAGACTACAAGTTAGGTCACTTCTCAGCATTGTCGCGGGATCCTGGGTGAAGTAGACATGCAGAATTGGGTGGCTTCCGGGGTAGTCCCGCACGCTTGGTGTTCCTCCTGTTTGTGTGCCCTTCTTGCTGTGGGTAGGACCTGACAAGTCGAAGGGTAGTTTGCTGTTGTTGAGAGGGGTCTGCAGGAGGAGAACACACCTGCAGCAAGATGGCTTCATTACACTCCTGGTCTTACCCTTTGTAGCAGTGACCACATACAATTAAATAATTATCTGTGTGATTATTGGTTCGGTGTCCTATGAGAGCAGATGTTTCAGCACACAGCAGAGGGTTGAACACAGAGCAGGTGCCTGATAGATACTTGTAGAATGAATGAATGAATGACCGAACGAACAAATGGTCCTATTAAAGTCAGAAGTGTATGAGTCAACCTTTTTGTCTCTGCTTGTAGGGAGACAACCCTGGTGGTGTATGTCATGACTCTGGTGGGCATGGTGGTGTACACTTTGACCTTGCCCCTCCAGCATCTGTGGATAGTGTTCGTCACCGCTGGCACAATGGGGTAAGTTTCACCTCTAACATGTTCAACCAGAAAGCACCATCCCGTGGCTCCTAGAGCTGCTGACATCCGAGGATGTCATACGGATCCCTTTGCTGCCTTCTCACTGACCCGGGGAGGAGATGTGGAAATGGTGCCCAGAGGTCTTGTTTGTTTTGGTAGCACTTCAAAAGGCCGCCTGGGGCTTCCAGACCCACCCGTGCTGTTGGGATGCACTGTGTTCTTTACAGACTTGGGAGGTTAGGGAATGTTTAGAGTCTTTTTGAGCTCTGCCTCGGACAACGTGGGTCCTGGAAAGTCTGGGTTTAATCAGACTACTGCGGACTATCTTAAAGACCACAGGCATGTCACTTAGCCACTCTGAGCCCCGGTCTCCTCATGTGTAAACGAAGATGAGTGGCCTGCCTTGTAGAGTTGTTGGAGGATTGAGAGAGATAACAGATGTGAAAACAGCAAAAAGTGTGGTGCGGATGTAAGGCATTAGAATTGAAAATTTCTAGACCTGTTGTATGAGAAAGTATACCTCTTGCACAGGGGTCTCTGCTCAGCATCACCTCCCCATTATTTACTGTGGGCAGTACGTGTGTGTGTGTGTGTGTGTGTGTGAAAGTCAGCTGGTGACTGGTGACTCTCTGGGGGGAAATAAGGAGGACTTTGAGCTCCTTCTTCCAGGTCCCACAGAGTCATGGAGATGCTGTTCTATATCCAGGGACTTCCCACTCCCAGCGTAGGGTCTGTGTACCCATGACAGAGTCTCTCAGCTGAGGGCTGAACACCCCAGGCATCCTACCTTTCTGTAAATGCTGACCCTGTCTGCCACTGGTGGCTGGATGTGCAAGAAGAAGAGCTTTTGAGTACAAAGGCCTCCTGAGGACAAAGCCTACCCACGAACCTCTTCCTGGCCTGCAGGATCTCTCTTTCCTTGGTCTGGCCATCTAGGGGGTGGCCTGATCATTCAAGAGCCCAGTATGTCTTGATGGGTAGAAACGAGGAGGAGGTGGGCTCTCTGTCCTTGTTCTGCAAGGTCTCCATCACCTTGTTTCTGTTGTCTGGCCTTCAGGTTCTTTATGACTGGCTATCTCCCACTGGGATTTGAGTTTGCTGTGGAGCTGACATACCCAGAATCGGAAGGCATATCGTCTGGCCTCCTCAACGTGTCTGCCCAGGTAGGTCTTATTTGGTGGTGGCCCCATAGCAGGGGCTCTTTGTTCTCTGCTTTGCTTGGCGGCCGCAGGCATTGCATTATGGCAGCTCAGCTCTTCTGTGGGCTAGTTGTCTGGGCCCTTGTTCCCAGTCTTCTTTGTATCTTTCCAGGTATTTGGGATCATCTTCACCATCTCCCAGGGCCAGATAATTGAAAACTATGGCCCCATGCCCGGGAACATCTTTCTGTGTGTGTTCCTCGCCCTTGGAGCAGCCCTCACTGGTGAGTTGGGGCCTTGGGACAAGTTAAGGCTCCGGCTGCTCATGGGCTGAGGCAGTTTGGGACCCAGTGTCTTGATGGACTGTACAGACCGGGAGTACACATTACATACACAGGACGGAGGGAAGGGCTTGTCAGGAAATCTGCCGGGAGGCAATCACATGTTTTTTCTGGTGGAATGAGCATGGGCTTTGGAGATAGAAAGGCCCTTGTTTGAATCCCAGGCTGTGATACTAACCTCCACAGCTGTTTGACCTTGGGCAAGTGGACCAACATCTGGGAGCTTCAGTTTCCTAATTTGTAAAACGGGGATTTTTGTGAGGATTAGAGCAACGTTCGCTAACTCTCTGGCAAATATAAGGCCACTGTCGTTGGCTCCTGGCTGTCAGGGACAGCCACGATCTCCAGGCTTTCACAAGGTGGGTGATGGTGTGCCCCTAGCTCCCTGGAATATCTGATGTAGGTCCGGGATACCTGTGGCCCTTAGGACAATTAGGGCTCCCTCTCTGGGATGAACTTGAACATTAGTCTGCTTGATAACTCTGTGTCTCTGTTGCTCTTCCTTCTCAATCCCTTGACCTCAGCACTCATCAAGGCAGATCTACGGAGGCAGAAAGCGAACATGGAATTTCCCGAGAATGTATGTACTGGGAGCTTGCTGGGCTGAAATCTGGGTTGCAGACTGAGGAAGTGGCA